CCCCTGAGCTATCCCCCTGTGCAAATACTGCCCTTCTATTCTCCCATGATTGATCGTTATAAGAATTTTATCTACCTGGTGTAAATGTTCACCCTATATGCCTATCTACTGCTTGACTGGAAGTCACAGGAGTGAGTTCAATTCCAGACCCAAAGGATAACAAGGGGCCACAGTGTTGGGGTCTCACCAGGCTGTATCAGATGGAAAAAGTCTGGTCTTTTTCATGATTTTGAGCTTAGTTCCACGTCGTTCTCCTACTCTATCCAGAGTGTCCTGTACTGATACCTTTCCAAGTGGTTGACAGTGCTGCCAGGCACCATCTAGTTCTTTTGGTCTCAAGATCATAGAGGTTGAGGTTCACATAGTCTACTCATCCCTTGGACTGCTTGTTTCCATGCCTCTTTGGTTTTATTCATTCTTCTTTGCTCTGGATGAGAGACCCACTGTTGCATCTAGATGGTTGCCTACAAGCTTTTAAGACCACAGTCACTGGAAATGTTCTTTGACAATGAATGTGACGCCATTCCTTTTCAATTTTTCATTCCCGGCATAGTAGACCACATGATTGTCTAATTCAAAATGGCCAATACCAGTCCATTTCAGTTCACTAATGCCTATGATATTGATCTTTATTCATTCCATTTCATTTCTGACAACTTCCAATTTTCCTAGACTCATAGTTCATACATTCCATGTTCTGATTATTGATAAATGTTTGCAGCTATTTCTTCCCGTTTTGAGTCATGCCCCATCAGCAAATGAAGGTCTGGAAAGCTTTACTACATCCATGTCATTAAGGTCAAATTTACTTTGAGGAGGCAGCTCTTCCCCAATCATATTTTCAGTGCCTTCCAACCTGAGGAGCTCATATTCTGGCACTAGATCAGACAATGTTTCACTGCTATTCATATGGTTTTTAGTGGCCAGTTTTTTCAGAAGTGGGTGGCCCCATTCTTCTTCCCAGTCTGTCTTAGTTTGGAAGATCTGCTGAAACCTGTCCACCATGGACTACCCTGCTGGTATTTGATATACCGATGGCACAGCCTCCAGCCTCACAGTAACCTGCAAGCCACCACAGCATGACAAACTGACAAACGAGTGGTGGAAAGAGGCCAGATATATTAACCATGTTGTTGTTGTTATTGTTATGTACTGTTGAGTCGGACCCAACTCCTAGCAACCCCTCCTTGGGTTTCTGAGGTGGTATCACTACGGAAGTAGATTGCCCAACCTTCCTTCCGAGGAGTGGCTGGTGGGTTTGAACCGCCAGCCTTCTGGTTAGCAGTCAAGTACCTTAGGCACTACGCTACCAGAGCTCCTATATTAACAATACAAATTTGAGAAAACAAGATTTTACTATTATTAGACAAAAATATAGCATATCATAAAGATATTATCAAAGGAAATGTTTTAAAGATTTAAAAAGAAAATTCTACTGAGTACATCACAATTTAAAATTATATTATTACCTAAGAAACTCCCTTGTTAAAAACTAGGGGAAAATATTTGCAACACAGAGAAAAGGGATTACTATCCAATTTACAAAAGGATTCTTATAAAAAATAGCAAAAAATAGGCAAATATAAAACAAGGCAACACAGTCCACAGAAGAACCATAACACATCACAACTGAAATAATTCATTGTTAAGTAATAGATAGGCAACGGTAGTTATTTGACAGTGGGAAACAGAAGCCTATCATGATGTCATCAGCATCCCTGTATGTCACAAGAGCTTGGACTTTTCCTTGTAGATGGCTGAAAACCGATGAAGTGCTCTTTACAACATTAACTGATTAACATTTTAGACAAATTCTTGAAAACAAACTTGAGCTTCTAGAAAAAGGAGGTATACAGACTGATCCAGAGAATAGATATGGATTCACAGGTATGATTCACAGAGATTAGAGAAAAGATTTAGGATATATTAAGATTTTTAAAAAAGCAAGAATGAATGACTTGTCTAGATAAACCAGAGAACCAAGACAGGGAGTGGTTTGGGATAAAGACTGCTCTCTGTCATCTGGATGACAGGCTAAGTGGAATTAACATTTGACAAAGAATAAAGGAACATGAGTGTTTTCATTTTACACCTTCTGGGCTGGGTGCCTTTTGGACAAGTTACAGACCAAAAAAAAAAAAAAAAAATAGGACATACGCTGTCCATGGCTGAAGTCACGGACCAGAAAGAAGGGAAAGACTCTGGACTCCCAGAAAGTATTTCCAGTTACAGCCACAGAGAGGATGGAAGCCCCTAGTGACAGTAGGAATAATAAGTAGAGAGCAATGTTTAAGGGCAAGAGGATGAAGAAGGCATCACAAACAGAACATTCAGACAAAAGTATGGAGTCAGTGCGGTGTTGTCACAGAATACAACAGAAGAGACTCTCAGGAGATCAGTAAATAGGATCAGTGAGACAGAGGCACTAGAAAACATCCATTTTTGTCTATAATTAGATCATTATGACCTTTACCAAAAAAGAGTAAGGCAAGTGGAAAAGAAGAACGGCCTGAATACTAAGTTAGAATTATAGACACTAGTGCCAGAGAGTATAACTCTGAACTGTCTGGATCACCTGTAAATACAACCTAAAAAGGGAGAACAAAATCACTCTCGGAAATAATCCAAAGGCAATGAACTCCATTCCTTCTTCTGGATGCTCTAGGTTTTATTCCTAGACCAAGCAAGAATATCAGAAAAATGGTTTCAAGCAGCGCTGCCCCATATGATAACCAGTAGCCACATGTGGTAACAAAGCACTTACACTGCTGCTATGGAGACCCAGAAACTAAATTTTCATTATTTTTAACTGAATTTAAATATCCACATATAGCTAGTGACTCCTGTACTGGACAGCACAGGACCATGATATTTTGATTCCCTGAAAATCTACTTTCACTGAGCTCTCCCTTAGCTCGAGTCCTCTGCTTCTTCCACTGATGAATTACTGAATGAAAAAGGCTGCATTTCATTCAGGGAGTTTATTGAAAGGTTGTATTCTTGACTGTAGGACAAAGGAATGCTTTTAGACTTCAGTCTTCATATCCCATTAACAACTGATATGATTTCTCCTTATGGAAAATGCAACTCATGTAACAGAAAGTCTGTCATGACTCTGATCAGAAAGACCAGAGACAAATTTACAGTTCAGGTTTGATAACTGTGATATTATACAATGTATACATATCTATATATGACATTATCCTCTTCTTAATCTGCTACCATGTATTTTTGGAGCTTAAAGCATGTAGTGCTTAAAGCATGTGACTGCTAACCAGAAAGCTGGCAGTTCCAACCCACCAGCCACTCCTCGGAAGAAAGACTGAGCAATCTACTTCTGTACAGATACTGCCTCATAAACTTAAGGAGTGGATGCTATGAGTCAAATCGACTCGATGGTACTGAGTTTGGTTTTTTTTTTGGTTACCATATATTTTACCTGTGATATGTATCCATTTCTATTATTTCCATCCTAAACTACTGACCATTAAAATCCTCATACAAAACATTGTAAATAGAGAATAAAAATAACTAACCTGAGATCTGTTTGTTTTCTGCTGGTCTTAGAAAACTGTGAAGAATGACGGTGCAGCTAGGGGAGAGAAAAGGAAGAACAGTCAGAGGTATTTGGCCTGCTTGCACTTCCTAGAGTCATCTGCCTACAACACTCACAGAAGAAGCCATTGGAACGATGTGGAGATGTATCTCTGACAAGATTATATTGAGCTTAGACATCCAATTATTCATTGGGTAAAAGCAAACATAGGCATCCCACTGTACATAATAATCTATGTCTCCCTCCAATGGAGGCACATACAAAAAAATAAAACATAGAAGTAATTTATAAATACTCAGATTGCATTATTTATCTGCTTTCTTACTAATAATGGGAATACTGTTAAAGTTGAGTCATTCATAGAAACTCTGAAAAGGAAAATGAGTGCTTTAATATGAGGTTTTTAAAAGTATTTATTCTAACTTGTTTGCAATTTCATTATCTTTTGATAAGAAACTTAAGTTTTAACTGCAAAGGAAACATCTCAGGAATTAAGAAACCAAGAAACTTTTGCCTTGATCAGTAAGAAATAAGTGACCCAGAAGAATTATTTTACCCTGTCAGGCTCCACATTTTTCATCTTTCAAATGAGGCATAAATAAATAAACCTTGTACGCCCTTTCTGCACCACCATTTTCTGGTTCTAAGAACAGAATAAAACCTCTCCAGATGCCAAATATGTAGATAGGCACCATGTGTGAGCTCAGTATGTGGAAATGTGAGTGGAGAGCAGAAGACATGTTGTTGTTATTGTTATGTGCCGTCAAGTAGGCCCTGACTCATAGTGACTCCTTCTTGGATCTCCAAGGCAGTATCACTACAGAAGTAGGACTGCCCAACCTTCCTTCCAAGAAGTGGCTGGTGGGTTTGAACCACCAGCCTTCTGGTTAGCAGTCAAGTGCCTTAGGCAAGTGTAGGCTCTAGAAATAAAACAACTTGTTGCCATCAAATGGATTCTGACTCATGTGACCCCGTGTGTTAGAGTAGAACTGCTCTACAGGGTTTTCTCAGCTGTAATCTTTACATAAGATTGCCAGGCCTTTCTTACACAGTGCCACCCACTGGGTGGGTTCCCACTGCCAACCTTTAGGAGGTTACCACCCACGGATTACAGTGGAGTGTGTCAAAAAAAAAAAAAAAAAAAAACCTCAGTGCCAGCAAGATGGGTCCAACTCATAACAACCCCTCCTTGGGTTTCCAAGGCAGTATCACTACAGAAGTAGATTGCCCAACCTTCCTTCCAAGGAGCAGCTGGTGGGTTTGAACCGCCTGCCTTTTGATTAGCAATCAAATGCCTTATATCACCAGAGCTCCCTATATAAGGAGGGTTAAATAGAACTTCCTCAGCAGTGGTGAGTGATTCCTTCTAGCCAGGTCAAACACCCACCAAAAAAAAAAAAAAAGGGCATTTCCTGTGCAGCCAACACAGCCATCCTTCACTCACCTCTCACCTCTCTGCTGAAGCTTGGTCCTGACCTTCCACTGTCACAAAGCTGTGATAGCTTCAGATCTGGCATCTGAAGTCTTGGTCATTTGAGGCAAAGGGATCAAAAATTGCTTTTAGCCTTGTAAATCTATAATCTACTCCTTTGGGGCCCCTTCCACTTCTGCTCTGAAGCTCTGGTGAGGAGTCTGAGATCACTGGGGTGTTTTCTTCCAGGTAGAACTCTGGTTCCTGCAGTTCTTTCCCTCTTATCTCCCTAGAACTGCTTTCTTCCAAGGGAGTTGGGCCCCAGACCTAAATGACAAAATCATTTAGTTGGAACCTTTATACATAATCCCTAATCTGACTCCAGAAAGTTGCTACCCGTAGAATACCAGACTAGATGTTCTACAGACTCAAACCAGGACAAATGGGCGGGTTGTCCATACGCAGGGAAAGGTAGGAGGGGCCATGCCCCCAATTACCCAATTCTGAACCCAGACCTTTGCAAATTAGCCAAAAAGTCACCTGCGAGCAGAGGCAGAGTGTCCTATCAGCAGCAACAAGATTTGGACAGATCTGGATTTCAATCTTACTCGCCCACCTGATGGTATGTGATAGGGGGTCAATCAGTCACCTTTCTGAGCCTGTTTTCGTATTTGCTAAAATGGGCTAGTTATCCTAACTCTTGGATGGCTGTCAAAATTCAACGAATTACCAATTGAAAATAAGAGGTTTTTAATCCTTAGGCTAAATGCTTCACGTATTCCGTGATCCTAAGCGCAGAGAAGCCGGCACTAAGAGCCTAGACTTCCCTAAGGAGCGCCCCAGAGCCTCGGCTTGCCCCACCCCCCCGAGGCCCTGCCCCTTCCATGGAATGCGCCCAGCGGCGCCTCAAGGCTCGAGCTAGCGACAGTGCTCGCCAAGGCGGTCCCGACCTTCCCCCGCGTCCCTGCCAGGCCACGCTCCCGACCCGCCCGTTCGTGCCCGCGGGTCTTCGAACCGCACGACTCTCCTGGCACTAGCGGGGCGGGCCCCCTTGACCGCGCTCTATTCTCCACGCACCCCCGCAGCCTCCGCGGCCGCGTTGGACGCGGATTTCGTCAGCGAGATCTGGACCGGGTGAGACCATGCCAGCGAGCGCCAGCCGAGAGCGACGAACCCGCCTGGGAGCGCACTTGCGCAGAGGCCGCCGGGATTGTCAGCTCCCGTCAGCCCCCGCGGAATAAGGTGTGGCCTCTGAGGTGGGCGGGGCGACGGGCACGTGGGGTTTCGCACGTGCCGGGCGGGCCAGATATGCTGCACTACACAGGGGGACTGGCCGATGAAACACAACCACCCTGGAGTGACAGACCAGCAATACAAACAGTAGAAAAATATGCGTGAACAGCAGGGCCTCTCCTAGAATGGGAAAATTAGGATTGATACTGGTGGTTCAAACCCACCAGCCACTCCTGGGAAGGAAGATTGGGCGATCTACTTTAGAGATACACTTCGGAAACCTAAGGAGGGGTTGCTATGAGTTGGTCCTATGGCACATACCAACCAACCCAACAGATATATTTTATTAGACTCATCTCCACAGTTATATATGACAATTTTAGGAAAATCAGAAAATGCACATAAAAGAACGAAGCTTCGCCTCTTGCTTGCTGAGATTTAAGTCCTGATATTTTGCATAAATATATGATCACATATGCACAATAATCATAACTATCATTTCAGGTAATATTATCTCTGAAAATATGACACTAATTACTTTTATCCCAAGGATATTAAGAAAAATAATTAACTTGTGATTCTGACTCATTGCAACTCCCTTTGTGTTTCTGAGGTGGTAAATCTTTGCGGAAGTAGATTGCCCAGTCTTCCTTCTCTAGAGTAGCTGGTGGGTTTGAACAGCCAGCCTTCTGGTTAACAGTCAAATGCCTTAGGTGCTATGCCACCAGAGCTCCTTACAATAGCATAAAAAGTTGTAAAAAAATACATAAGATTCAAGTTAATACAGGAGGAAAACTCCTGTGGCTTCCAAAGGATGATTCAGTCTTTGACAATATCCATAACAGAACCTCAACAGATTCTCGTTCCTGTTTTCTCTTTGCTTTTTATTTTGTATTGAATCAATAGGACAATTGTAAACTTAATAAAAATGACAAATAATAAATAAGAATATTTGGAAAAACAGTAATGTCTATTAATAGTATTGTATTGCTATAATTTAAAATAGAGTCCGGACACTAGTAGCAAAGCTCAACAAGACAGAAAATAACAAATGCTGGTGAGGATGTGGAGAGATTGGGACTTTCATACACTGCTGGTGGGACTGTAAAAATGATACAACCACTGTGGAAAGCAGTATGGTGATTCCTTAAAAAGTTGGAATTAGAAATACCATTTGATCTAGCAATTCCATTACTAGGTATATATCCTAAAGAAGTGAGAGCCATGACAGGAACAGATAGATGCACACCCATGTTCATCGCAGTACTGTTTACAATAGCAAAAAGATGGAAACAACCTAGGTGCCCATCAACAGATGGAATGGAGAACCAAACTATGGTACATACACACAATGGAATACTATGCAACCCTGCAGAATAACATAAAATCTGTAAAACACCACATAAAGTGGAGGACATTATGCTGAGTGAAATACGTCAATCACACAAGGGCAAATGTTGTTGTTGTTATTATGTGCCGTTGAGTCGGACCCGACTCATAGCAACCCCTTCTTGGGTTTCCGGGGCAGTATCACTACAGAAGTAGATTGCCCCATCTTCCTTCCGAGGAGTGCCTAGTGGGTTTGAACTGCCAGTCTTCTGGTTAGCAGTCAAGTGCCTTTAGGCACTACGCTACCAAGCTCCTCAGACAGGCCACTACCTGGTGGGAGCGGCTGGTGGGTTTGAACTGCCAGCCTTGCGTGTGGCAGCTGACTGCCTGAGGCCCTGAGGCCATCCCCTAGGGCCGGCAAATATTGCATTAGTCCATTATTATAAAAAGTCAAGGAAAGGTTTATATATGGAAGGAAGTTTTCTTTGTTGGTTACAGGGGTGGGAGAGGAGAGGAGGGAACACTGCTAGATAGGAAGGGACAAGCTGATTTGGGTGAAGGGAAGAGCAATGTTACCAAATATGAGTGATCAACACAGTGGCATTCAGGAAGAAGAGGACATAGAGAGGTGCATGGAAGGTACAGACAACAAAGATGAACGTTTTTGCACATACAGTACTGTACTGTCAGTGATGGCAAACATTGATATACGGGTGGACAGATGGGTGGATAGGCTGAACCATTAGGTATGTCTATGCAGGGGGGAGTGTGCCCATGACCATGTATAGGGTTAGCAGAAAATGTTTCTACAAGTGTGTTTTTATGTTCTGTAAGAATGCCCAGGTATATAGTAGAGCTGACAAGGGATAAGGTTGTAGTCACTTCTTAGACACAGACAGCTACCCAGAGGGAGCAAGTAGTTGGACGTGTGGGCTCGGGACCACACATGGTCACAGGGAACATCAAGCTCAATTGGCATAACATACTACACAAAAACATTGTTCCACATCCTCCTTTGCAGAGTAGCGACTGGGATCTTAAAACTTGCAAGCAGCCATCTAGATGCAACGATGGGTGTCTCCTCATCCAGAGCAAAGAAGAATGAAGAAAACCAAAGATTCATGGAAAGAATTAGTCCTAGTGACTGGTACACCATGCGAACTGTGGCCTACACAACTATGAGACCAGAAGAACTAGATGGTGCCAGGCTACCACTGTCAACTACTCGTTGTTGTTGTTTTTGTTGTTTGCCGTCGAGTCGGCCCCAACTCATAGCGACCCCTCCTTGGGTTTCCGAGGCAGTATCACTATGGAAGTAGGATTGCCCAACCTTCCTTCCGAGGAGTGGCTGGTGGGTTTGAACCGCCAGCCTTCTGGTGAGCAGTCAAGTGCCTTAGGCACTATGCTACCAGAGCTCCTGTCAACTACTCAGAGGGGGATTTATGTAGGAGATCCTGGATAGAGTGGGAGAGCAATGTGAAACAAAACTCAAAATCATAAATTAAAAGGGACAAGGTTTGCTGGTCTGATAGAACCTGGTGGAACCTCTGAGACTATAGCCCCTAGCTGCCTTTCAGGTCTGGAATTAAACCCATTCCTGTGGCTTCCAGCCAAACAAAAGTCAGACATATGAGCTGGACATTTACATTAGGTAGATACACCCCTTGGAGAGATCAATCATGGTAAAAAAAGAAAGGCTATGTATGCACAGGGTGACAGCTCAGGGGGCAGGAGTGTGTGGGAGGGAAGAACACAGGGAAGAGATAACTATGGGGAGGACGTGGGAGGGGATGTGTTGCATTGTGGGAGATTGCAGTCAATATCATGAGACAAAGTGTATGTGAGCTGCTATGTGGAAAATGAATTTGCTCTGTAAACTTTCACCCAAATCACAATAAAATTAAAAAATTTGCCTGCAATTGGATACAATAAAGAAGAATAACATTTTATTACAGCATTAGCAAAAGGCAGCATGAGCAGGTCAGAAGATCCTGACTGTCCCACATGAACAACCATGTGTTTGGAGTTGTCAGGAAGACTATAAAGTAATTAGGGATGCTTTGTTACAGTGAATTTGTTAAAGAGAAGAAAGGAAAAAACAGAAGAAGGAATGGATAATTGTATCAGATAAATGATACCTAAAAGTACGAAAAATAAATTATATAATTTTAAAAATATATGCTATCATATCAATTGATTAGATTAATGCTAGAATACTGGAAGACAGGCCAATAGAAAATACTCAGACTGAAGCACAGTGAAAGAAGAAAAGAGACTAAGAGGCACATGAGTTAGACTCGAAAGGACTACTAATGATACAATTAAAGTCCCAGAAGGAGAGAAGAAGAATACACAAAAGCATTAATCAAGGCAATCATGTCTGAGCATTTTCCAAAACTGATAAAACTCACATGTTTAAGAGCTTAAGTACATGGAGAATTTCATGTATACAAAAAAATATATACACCAAAAAATTGCAGGATAAAGCAAAAAAATGTGTGTGTGTGTGTGTGTGTGTATTACCAAACCATCTGAAGAAGAGATGTGATGCACTGAACACCAGTGACCAAAGATGAGACAAGTTGTGGGATGACATCAAGAACATCACACATGAAGAAAGAAAAAGGTCATTAAAAAGGAAAAAAAGATCAAAATGGATGTCAGAAGAGATTCTGAAACTTGCTCTTGAACAGAAAGTAACTAAAGCAAATGGAAGAAATGAAATAAAAAAGGTGAACAGAAGATTTCAAAGGGCAGCTCAAGAAGACAAAGTAAAGTATTATGATGAAATATGCAAATATCTGAAGTTAGAAAACCAAAAGGGAAGAAAACATTTAGCATTTCTCAAGCTGAAAGAACTGAAAAAAAAATCAGGCCTCGAGTTGCAATACTGAAAGATTGAAATACTGAGCGATGCAGAAAGCATCAAAAGAATATGGAAGAAATAAACAGTCACTGTACCAAAAAGAATTGGTGGATGTTTAATCATTTCAGGAGGCAGCATATGATCAAAAACCAATGGTATTAAAGGAAGAAGTCCAAGCTGCACTGAAGGTATTGTTGAAAAACAAGACTCCAGGAATTGACAGAACCCATTGAGAAGTTTCAACAATTGGATACAGTGCTGGAGGCTCTTACTTGTCTATCCCAGGAAATTTGGAAGACAGCTACCTGGCTGTGTAGTTAAGGTTGTGTGTCAAGTTGGCTGGGTTGTAGTTTTGAGTGCCTTGGCATCTAGATGTAGTTATTTCCTATGATGAGACTGTAATCACCTCCATGGTGGAATCTACTGCAAGCAGCCAAGTAGTTGCCTTCAGGGCATGGCCTGCTTTCAGTCTTTAAGGAGCAGCTTTGAGGTGGCATAGTGTCTAAGGCATTTGACTGCTTACAAGAATGCTGGCAGTTCAAACCCAACAGCCACTCCTCAGAAGGAAGATTAGGTAATCTACTTCCATAGAGATACTGCCTCAGAAACCCAAGAAGGGGTCACTATGAATCGAATCGACTTGATGGCAGTGAATATGGGTTTTTTGTTTGTTTGTTTTTGGAGAAAGGTCTTTAGCTTTTTGGCACATCTGAACCCTACATTTGGCTGAGTCTTCATCTCCAATTCCTGCACTTGAACCAGTAGACTGCCATGTGCCTGCTGATCTTGGGATTGTGCCATTTTACCCACCAACCTTGGGTTTGTCATCCCAGCAGCCAGCAGCTATTTGAGTTTGGAGATTCCTCTAGCTCCAGTGGGCCTGGAATAAGAGACAGAGCTGAAGCCCAAAGGGCCTTCACTTAG